GCTGAGAAAATTCTAGTCCATGAGGACTTGTAACTTGTTTTAGTAATCTATTCCTGTTAAATCAATAAATCAAATCAAATCAAATCAAGAGGGCAGAGCTTTTCAAGAATACTTCTGTCATCACTGCATTGTGTTATATAATGACACTGTTGAGTGTTAATCAAGACTTAACAGTGGGCGGAGCTTATATAACACTGTTCAGAGTTGAGACAATACTGACAAAATCAACTCTGTGAATTAACACCAACACTGGATGTCAATTTACTAAGAACGTGTTGAAACAACACTTGGGGAGCTGAAATTAACTCTGAAAAGTTTAACACTGCAAATTTAACACTCCACTTCCTGACAGAATTCTTCACAAATACATGTTGTGATATAGAAATTTAAACAAGTACGACTTTTTTTGAAAGTAAGAGAAGTTTACAAAAAAGTGGCAAGTTTGGATAACAGAAGTTTGAGTGTAACATCATCACAAGGATCAGAATTTCATGGTGAAATATTCTAAATGATATGGCACAAACCATGATTATGTGAAAACTTTCAAGATACTAAAATCTGGGTTCAGTCATGTAAAGTGCAATTTTCTATTATCTGTTTGATATTTGGGTGAAATTGTGAAGTAACTCTGGACTGAAAATTGCCTCACAAAAATCTACAAAAGGCAGCTGAATCACAAGAGTGCTTTAATGACTACGCACTGGTAYCCTTCAAAACTTTTACATTAAAAAAACATATTTGTTACTGAACTATTCCTTTTTTGTATAATTCATTCTAGCAATAAATAAATAAATAATTAAATAAAAATACATTTAGTGGTTTTCCTAAACTACTATAGAAAACAGGGAAATTGCTAAAAGCAGAAGCAGAATGAAAGATTTATTTTGAGCCATTAAATAATCTGTGATTGATGATAAATCCATGCAGCTTAGACGGTTGTGTATGAAATCTGCTGCTGCAAACTGATATCTCTGGTTTTACCTTGGAACTGAGTGGAATTTGTTGAGCTTTCCTTTCTGAATCCCACAAAACAAATGACTTCCTGTATAATGTGAAGGGTTTTCTAACACCACTGATCCCTCTGAGAATCATCGTCTCAGTAGCTCCTTGCAGCGCTCAGCCTTTTTTTTTTCATTTCTTTTTTGCTCCCCTCTTATAGAAGCTTAAAGGAGATAAGGCTCTTGTTAGAACTGACAACATTTTTTATTGTTATTTTATAGTTTTATTAAAATGTTCAATAAGAAAAAAGTTTTTCTTTTAATGGGTTTGATTCAGCTGCTTTCAAAGACAAAAAAACCAAATAAGACAGAATATAATGTTGCTACAAGGAAGGCTCGAGCACATTTGTCTCAAAATTACACAATAAATATAAATTGGGGTTGTGTCTTTTGTGCTTCAAAATATATAATACATTCATTCATTCATTCATTCATTCATTCATTCATTCATTCATTCATTCATTCATTCATGCATTCTTAGTTCTATCATATTCAGTTTCAGGACAATAATCAACACGGAACGGGTGAGTCAAAAGACTCAGGACACCCTTCCCTGGTGCTGAACACAGTGTTCAGGACCACGGACAGCACATTTTGAAACAACAGGCTTTCTCGGTTTTTGTTGCAAATTTCTGTGCTGATAGCTTTTTAACCACAAGGGATATTGCAAATCGGATTGTGCCAATGAATTTCTGAGACAATTCTTGTTCTTTCTGATATGCTGAATGAACACTTTCTTTGGAGAAAAGAAAATACTTTGATCCATATGGCAGCTTTCAATATGATGATCATGTTCCAGACATAGCCTAAAAGATATGTCCCCTGATCCATTAATTTTTGAGGCTTTTCAGATATGTACATTTCTATGTTTCTGAAATAAAATAATGTCCTGAGACTTTTGACTCATTTTGTACGTATAGCATTATTACATACATTAGTTGCAATATCTCTAATTTTGAAGTTTTATTTTGAAAAATAATATTTGTTGGTTAAACTTGGATGATCACACCTTAACTGAGACAGAAAAAAGGGTGAATGTGAAAAGCTGTGCAAGTTACTCATCTTCTTTAAAAAAAACTCAGAAGATGGGGGAAAAACAGAATCCATATGCAACTTTCTAAATGAATCATTTAACTAATTAACCAAATTAATCATTTCTGTAATGTCTGTGCCAACAGGAGTTACAGCAGTCAGAGAACAGCCTGATATTGGCTGTTTTAGAGGAGGAGGGACAACCTTTGGGGGAAATTAATGGGGCACTTTCTTGATGCTCTTACTGCGTTTGGCACCATATTAAAGGACTTGTGAAACTGAGGGGATTGCGATAACAAACTCAAATCCTGCGTGCACAAACGTATTTATGTTGGAACAATAAAACAGCAGACTGTGTTATTAGTCTGTTTTAAAGAACAGCGGTGCATTAAAAGTTACTTATTTTAATAACTCATAGAAAGCTTGTGCATTTTTTTTCATTTGGTTCTAAGTGGGGGGTGGGGGTGGGGGGCTTTACCCTAATCTTTACCATTCCATTAAGCAAAAAGTTTGTGCTTGGGTGAACTGAATGATTTGGCCACCCATGAAATACACATTCCAGCCTCACACACATACAGTTTTATTTGTCTACGATTCATGCCTTCTTTTCTACAGCCTTCGGTCATGCTTCCACTCACATCAAATCCCTAAAGTAAGAGCAGAAATGAAAAAAAAAATTAAAAAAAAATAAAAAAACAAGTAAGAGAGCAAAGGCAGAGAGGGGAAGACAGAGAGATGGAGAGAATGAGATGGGATTACGGGGATAATGCGAACAGATGGCGGGAGGTCAAGTCTCCGGCAGGACTCTCCACTCCACACGGATTAAAAGACCTCCATCGGGCCACCAGCTACCAAACGGATGCTGTTCCCCACGCTCTAGACACCAAGCTGAGCCTGACTTGCCCCCCGCTGCCCACCGCTAAGCATGAAAATGAAAATTTACTGTCATTCAGCATGTAGCAAGAATAAAAAAAAAACAACAGAAAAAAAAGAAAGAAAAGAAAAACAGTCAGGTCATGGGAATACTTTGAAACTATTTTCCCTCCAAACTTCAAGTCAAACTCGTAATGGCTTTCAGACCTTTTTTTATTTAGACATTTCCTCTAAGCATCCTCTCAAAAGTCTGTGTTGACCTGCATCATGTCAGAGTGAAACTTGACACAAGCAGACAGAGGCCGCCATCAGAGATWCATCGGAACTGAATGAGTGCTGGACAGAGGAGGATTTGGACACCAACGTGTCTTCAGTCCTAAAATACAAAAAATCATTTTAAGCTTAGTAGATTTCAGCCTTAACAACTAAAAAAAGATATGAAAAATGTTCATGTGTATTTGATTCTGGCTTTAAAAAGAATTTGCTTCATTCTGTCAGAAAAGATAAATTGAGTCAGACTCAGCAGAAGGGGAAAAACACATTATATACTACCATATTTCATCATCCACAGTTTGGAGTACTTATTTTAATTACAAAAAATAAATAAATGTTTGGATACCTGCCTACAATAATGTATCCTGCATGAAAAAGTAGGTGTCAAAAAATTCAAATAAAGTTATATAT